ACACAGAATGGACAATACAAACCAATATATGCATGCTTCTGAGTATAAGAATATAACTGCTGCATAGGCGAACATGCACATATCCACACACATGAAAGAATGAACAGACAGTATAGAACAAAATACCCTCCAACAAGCAGATCTATCACCAAGACATATGTAATGCTGCTGCTCCGAAGAGCCTTTAAATACTAGTGGCCTATGACTATGTGTGCCTGGGCTACTACTCCGACCAGCTTAACTCTAATTAGACGAGCACTATGTTTAATGTTAATTAAAGGTGATCTATTATGCCCCTTTTTACAAGATTTAAAATAAGTCTCTGATGTCCCCAGAGTGCATATGTGAAGTTTTAGCTCAAAAACCCTATAGATAATTTTTTATAGCTTGTTAAAATTGCCACTTTTAGGGTATGTTTTTGTGTCTTTCCCTTTAAAGGGTTAGTTCAGGAGAGACACCCCCATATGATTGTAAAGTGCTTTGGGTGTACAACAATACACAATAAAGTGCTATATAAATGCCTCATTCATTCATTCACCCAAAACTGAAAGTTAGCCTGTGATTTACTCACCTTCGAGGCATCCTAGGTGTATATGACTTCTTTCAGACAAATCCAATTGGAGTTATATTAAAAAATGTCCTGGCTATTCCAAGCGTTATTGTTGCAGTGGGTGGGTGTTTTTGTTCAACAGTCCAAAAGACGTCAAATAAAGCATGCGCATCCATAATAAAATGTGCCTCACACGGCTCTGGGGGGTGAATATAGGCCTCCTGTAGCGAATCCATGCATTTTTGTAAGATAAATATCCATATTTCAAACATAATAAACACTTATTTCTCACTTCATCTAAATGTGGTACGCAAAAGCCGTTGGAAAACAAACGCGCGACTTACTTTGTCTGGAGCTGACTTTCGCACACAAAGCATTATTGATCCCTAAACATATAGGGGACTTTACAGATTTTTTTCCTTGGACATTTTCATCGATAATGAAATTTAACCAGTGTCCTCAGCGGCTCTGATTGAGGGAGTCTATGGAGACTCCTGTGCCCATTGGTGCATCATAAAACACAACACTTCTAACTGACATTGTATATCCACAGTAATGACGGACTGCTGCTTCTCACTGTAGTTTATGCTAATAGAGCAGAGAGTGTCACAAATGGGCGGGACTTTTTCCCTTCAGTGACGTGTAAAGAGGGAGAATCTGAAACCGCTCATTTAGAGAGACAAAAAAAATGATTGGGTGGATTTTTACCATTAGGTTTTTTACACACACTGCTGCCGCACAACTGTGTTCAAACACCTTATAAAAGTGATTTTTGCATTATAGGTGCCCTTTAACATATGTTGCAATCTGATAGATAAGACCCCAGCACCCAGCTGAGTAAAATATCATAATTTAAGTCATTTGATAACTGTCATTGATATGACTTTATCCTCTATTTGTATAGTAAGCTATTAGGAGCGATAAGGCATGTGCTTCTGATGCTGCGTGCAGCTGAAATCAACCACACTCTTGTAACAGTTAATGAAAACATCGACCTTAGAAATCCCGAACCCCGTTTGAAATGCATACAAATGAGAATGCTTATTTCATTAAAAACCTGTTCTCACGTCCATTACTGTCACCATGTCCTCAGAGTGATAACATACTGTTGACAGGGCCGGATTAACATAAAGGCTAGGCGGGGCTGAAGCCCCAGGGCCCGCGGATTGAGGGGGCCCGACGTGATTGGCTGTGGAGGAAAGGAAAATTAGACATAGAATTGATTGGCCATCGGGAGCACCCAAGCTTTTCCGAAGTGTGCCGATTGCCGAAATCCTATGGAATAAAATCACTGTCAAAAATAATCGTACGTAATTCAATCATATATATTGGCGGCACAAAAGAGGTTTAAAATCTAAAAGGTGTGCCTTATAACCTGAGAACTACATGAACACTTCACAGTTGGTTGTGTTACTGTAAGTAATTTTCCTCAAATGCTATTGAAGTTCGAAAAGTGTATACCAATGTCGTATGTAACTTTAGAGACGGCCCCTAGATTTGCGAATATCGAGTGCCGGGAAATGACACCTCTGGCCATCCCTCCCACCACGCCGCTTATTAGTGTCTGCGCTATTTCAGTCCAAAAGATATGAGCGATTAAAAAATGTCTTTGTACTCGTTTACACTAGAGTTGCGGGTATCTTTTAATCGCCTCGGCTTTACTGTAGCGCATGGGAAACAAGCACTAAAAGCCAAGTGATGAAATGGCACTAAATTACCTGATTAAACCGCGCAAGAGAACAGCTGGACCACACCGGACCGGTGTCTCCCACCCGCGACTGTAGCTCGAAACTTTCGCCGCTCTATTGAAGTGATAATAAGCAGCGCTTGCCCATTTGAATTCCACACACGACACTTATATTTGAACAGTAAAGTCTCGGTGGTGAAACTAGCGGAAACCAGATTGAGTAGCACCGACCATGTAAACTGAATTGTAGAGGTAAACTGTACAAAACTGTAAATAAGCAATTTAAGCCACAGCACCACAACTAGGCTATTTAACAGATATTCAACATATTTATGAGACGACGAGAGACTAATCTGCTTCAATATATGCTGATAACAGTAGGCTATATAACTGTCTTAAATTATTCCCTTAATATTTCTCTTGTGACCTGTATAGTGCAAAACACGAGAATAAACCTATTTCGCGTTAAACAGGCTGTTTTTGAAAATCGGTGCATGAAATAAAGCTGCTCTTATAGGCCTATAATTCATTGTATAAATGAATAGACCTGTTTTAAAAACAAAAACAAAACAAAAAACCTTTTAAAAAACATTTTCAATGAGGAGTAAGCCAATATCCTTTTATTATCCTCACAGCCCTTCATGCGGTGATGCGCTATGAAATTATTGCATACATTCATTGTAATTTAATAATAATAGTAACCTAATAATAATAATAATAAATATAGCTGCAAGCAGCGATATCCGGGGTTCAAGCAGTTAAGGCATTTAAGCACATAAGGAAAAATATTTTGTGTTACATGGCTGTAATCACCTAAATCAATGATTAAAAATAGCATTTTGGGCAAATGCAGGTAATTTACCAAATAAATATGATGATTTTTAACAGTTATGACTGTTATAGCGCCACCTATAGTCCGATCACCCTGAAACGTTGCATGCTTCTTAATCCTTTACAGTTCTGAATGTTGTATTACCTTTATGAGTAAAAATGATGGAGTATTTTAAATTGTTTCCAATGCAAGTGATCGCGCTGGCGCCTCCATGTCCTGTAAAGCGCACTTCAGCTTCCACTCTCCACACAAACGATTGGTTATGCCTCTTAGCGCACATTTATAGGTTGTGTTTAAACTAGCCCAACTTTGTGATATGCTTGAGCTGTTTTATATCTATAGATTTTATTTTAGGCAAGCCGTGATGATTTGAGAAGGCTAAATTGATCAAATAGGCTATGATCAACTCACTGTCTGCCGCTGGCCGCTTGGTCGATACTTTAAAAAACAAAAAAATTACATTTAACGAACAAAAAATGCTCCAAACGTTTTTCTAAATTAACCTAATAAAATAATGAAACAAAATATAATCACTTTGCCATTTCATACAAAACTGAACTATTTTAGTTGCTGAAACAGTATAGGCCTATAAGCTGTTTTGGCAGAAAGGGGAAAAAAAGACAGGCTCGGGTAGGTAATTCTGGTAAACTGTTGGACACGGGCCGGGATAGGGCTAGATTGAGGCCCGGTTCTAATATCTCTGCCTTTCATTGACACATGATACGACACAAATCAGCAGTGGGAGGTTATCGCGGGGCCCCCGCGGTGCATGCCCGTCCGCTACGCCACTGCTTATAGCCTATTAAATATTGGTTCAAATAAAGGCAATAAGTCCATTTTTATAAAGGTTTACTAATACTATAGTTAACTCTGGATTCAAGAATTAGCTTTTCATTAGGGCAACTACAACGGACAATTTAATAGTTCTAATAAACATTAATTGCAGAAAAATATTATTTCAATAATTAAGAGCCTGCAATATAATGGAATATTAATATTGTTAAATGCATTTTAAGTATTCAAAAATATCATTTGTTTTCATTCGTTATTTATTAATAAATATTTATTCCAATTGCCCTAGCCCCAGCAAAACATTTATGGGGGACTGTGTGGGCCAGATGGGCTGAATTTTAGCACCAGTCCAGCCCTGATGATTCTCCTCTTCTAGGGCCAGAAAGAAGACCTTATAATAAAATTATTTAAACTAAACTCCTTAAGGGAGCTGTATATGCTCAAATGTTGTTGCTGCTTCTGGAAACCCGTTTGCTTTGACTTCATATATCTGGTGTATTTATTCTTTGAATGTGTTGTAGCCTGGAAAATTTAGTGTGCATACACATTGTATCTCTGTGTGTTGGAGATTTGATAAAAAATTAAAAAAATAAAAATAAAACAATTATTCCTGTTGTAGAAAACGTTGTGGCACCAAGATAGGCTACTATGAAGGGGGGCCCTTGGGTTTGCTATAGCCCCAGGGCCCTATGTGTTCTTAATCCGGGCCTGGCTGTAGACTGCATGTTGCTCCAGCTGTATAAACATAGATCGGTAAATGCTACTGCTAATATGGAGTTTTTGCTATTTATAATTGCAATTTAAGAGTAAAAGAGCATCCTGTGCAATACAGAATTAATTTTATTGCACAGGATGCTCCTTTACATACTCTGCTATACGCAATGCTTGTGAAACTTGCACTGTGGTTTCCTGCTCCAAATTATGTCACCACAATGTACCCTTTTTTAACTCTTGAGCTGCAAGTCAAACATTGTAAAATCGCCTGCATTGCTGTATTTAACACAGTGGACTTCCATACATATATTAATGCAGCAACCCGAATGCTTAAACTCTGAATTTAAGAACAATAAAGAGCCAACAATAACAATCAGATGCATAAGAATTAAAGCAAAAGGCTGACAAGGTTTTACAGAGAAATTTAATAACTACAAGATATGGTGTTAACAGTAAAACTGAAAATAACCTACAATAAGATTGCTCAAAGCCAATTAAAACATAGACAGAGAAACATCACAAAATGAAACACCTCAGGTCTCACAAACGTGTCAAGACACAATAGTGTTTTTTAAGGGAAATATTTATGAATAGCCATATCTGTATGTGTATTTATTTAATTAATTTTTTTGAAGATCTTATTATCTTCAGTCCATAGGTACACAGACTTTTTTTTTCCTCATAGAGCTTCATGGCCGCCTGTCAGTTTGTGAAACAGCTCTTCATTCAGAGTGTCACTCTGCTCCCGACTTCGAGTGGACATGAAGATGTAGCCACCGATGTACTCGTGGACAATCTTACAATCTGCTGTCACACAGCTGAAGGCGATGTTCACATTGCCATCAAACTCAATGGCAACCTGGTACAGATATGGCAGGAATTTATTATTTTACACCGTGATATTTATATTAACATGAGAGCTTGGAAAAACTGACAAATCTCATTGGTATAGAATAATATAAAGTCGGATTACCTGTTTGATGTCCCAGTTGACATTCCATTGCCTCATGGTGTTGTATCTCCAGGTTTTCACAACATCTCCAACACTCAGGTCAATGCGGATTAAACGATTATTGGCAATGCCAAGCACCTCATCCTTACGGCAACCCTTAAACCTTATGTGGACAAAAATAATGTGTTTTTTGATAATGTCACTTATAATGTGATATTATTTTGGTTAAATTATGTCATACCTAATTTTCAGTCCACACTGAAAATTCCAAAAGACAAATTGCACTTTAAATACCAGGATAATGTACTTAAGTATGGAATGCTGGACACTTCATAGACTCAACTGTCGCAAGGAGGCTATCACACTTGAAGACGCATGACAAAATAACCTTTAAAAATGTATGCAATATACAGTTGAGTATATAGGTATAAAAAGTGCATAGTGCATAGTGCATCATTTGAGGTGTAATTTGTTTTGTTTCTGTTTCCTTTGTTGCCTTGGTTTCTCCTGCTGTTCATTTCTTGTAATGGATACCCATGTTATTGTCAGTGTCTCAGATAGTTCCTTGTTTCTCCCATTATATATATAGCCTTCTGTTTCAGTTGTTCTCTGTCCATTCTCATCAATGTCTCATTAGTTGCTGGATGGTGGGTTATTTTAGTTACTTTGCACCCTAGTGTTACACCCATAATTAGTGTGGCCCTTATTGGTTAAAGTACATCGAAAGATAAAATTGCAAGAAAAAAATATAAAATACAAAAATACCTGAGAAATATAAAAACAACATTTTCAAAATATATCCAATAATACCACTACAAAAACATAATAAAAGATATACATATGGACATATATACAGTACATATACGTCTGTCCATACATAAACAAAATATACATCCATTGGCAAATGGCTGCCCACTACTCCAGGTGTATATTCACAGTGTGTGTAAGCAGTGTTCACTACTCACTGCTGTTTGTGTGCACTTGGATGGGTTAAATGCAGAGCAGAAATTCTGAGCATGGGATACTATACTTGACAACATGTCATGACAATGGCAGAACACTCGCAACTTCATTATTTTTCCTAAATGAAGATCATGTAACAATGCAAATGAAAAAAAGAGGTATAGTACAATGGACTCCTCTCAAAGACTGAAGAACAAATGCAATTCATTATGCAGATTGTCAAAGAGCACCAAAATCTGTTTCCAGTTTCTGCGGCTGAAACATGTTGGTTTGTCATCATGATCCAGAGCAGATCGCAATATATCAGCAGTGTTGTAATTTAACTTTTTTTTAAAGATTTTATTTTTGACATTTTATGTTTTTATTTCAATAGGACAGTAAGTGGACATGAAGCGAAGTGGGATGGGCTCTGGAAAGGTCCGCAAGCTGGGACTCGACCTTGTGATGCCTGAAGCACAACAGTGTTACATTATATGTCAGTGCACTGCCCACAAGACCCCCAATGTAATTTAACATTGTTAGACTAACAACACTGTTCTGTGTTGTCGTTTTTAACCTAATTCACAGTTAACTAATGGTTTTGTATAATTATTAATTACATGCTGTTATGGTCATTAAGACAGAATTTCAACTTTGTTGAGCACACCCTAACACACCCTTGGTGTTCTTGTCCAATCTCAGTGAAATTTGGTTTGTTTCCATTTCTCATGAAGGAGAGTTGACTGGGTGGGTGATTGGGGGGATACATCCAAAATCAACAGAAAACAACCAGTTTTAGCATTTAATGAGATATGTAATTTATGTTTGTTTAAATGTCAGGCTTTCAAGAAAATTACTTTTGCAGATCAACTCAGGGCCCACTTGGGAATCTCTTAGAACAGCCTCTAAATCACAAAATGCAACATGAAATGTAGAGATAAGGCACAGTCTAGTTCTTATGGTTTAAATTAATTTATTCCTATAAGCTACAAAATACATGGAAGACTGAATCTTTGCAGCATTTAAATATTTATAATACTCTGAAATAGTAAATGCATTAATGACATATGTTCTTGCTTCGGCCCATAATTTGAAAGTATATCATTTGATCTGAAGATAGTGCATTATTTTAGTGAAAATTTGATTAACTTCAGTCAATTCCACTGTTTTCCGTATATGAAAATGCATGATAATAACTAGCAGTCAAGTTCTGTTGCAATTTTACTTGGTTCATTGTTGGGGCAGTCATGGCCTAATGGTTAAAGAGTCGGACTTGTAACCCAAAGGTTGTGGGTTCAAGTATCAGGTCTGGCAGGAATTGTCGGTGGGGGGAGTGATTAACCAGTGCTCTCTTCCACCCTCAATACCACGACTGAGGACCCAGTCGTGTGGGTCAATGTGCACCCTTGAGCAAGGCACTGAACCCCCCCGGGCACCGCAGCAATACAGCTGCCCACTGTTCCAGGTGTGTGTGTTCACTACTGTGTGTATTCACTGTGTTTGTGCAGATCATCACCCTACTTGGCCACATGTCACTGCACTTCACTTAGAAGTAAAAGAAAGTCATATTATACATGTATATATGTCAGGATCTGAACCTCATGCATAAAATTACACTACCAAGACTCAGAGTGTTGAAGAAGAAGTGCCAGAATTGGAGCCTATACTATGAAGCCGGTTTGCCAGGTAAGTTTCAATTTAGTTCGCACCAGCTATGGGTTTTTGGCACAGTGAAAGGGGTTTGACTTTTAAGGGTGTTCGTTGCCATAGTAACTTACGCTCCAGAATTAAACTGCTCCTGGGCAGGATATGCTCTGGTTTAGAGATCTCAAACCAAAATTTGACCAATTAGCTTTGAGCAAAGTGACTCATATGTGACAGTTTCCCTTGCTCCAAATTAAAATTCACTATATATTATATATTGTATAACAGTTTTAAAGATAAAGATCTGGCTTTTAGTGATGATTATTTATTATAATTATTTTATATAATTTATCATTATTATACCCTTTATCCTTTACACAAGTCATTTTAGTTTACTAATTATTATTAAGGTTTTATTTTAAATTAATATAAATATATAATATGAGGTATAAATAAGCTTTAAACTTTAAAGCTTTAAAAATAGGTGCATGACACGCCTACAGGGCTCTGCCTACAGAGAAATTTTACTAAACTCACCTGACTACAATATAAGAGAGGCCAAAGTCAGGCAGAGCCTGCCAGATCTGAAGGAACTTCTGAATGGCATCTGTTAATGAGAGTTGAGCTACGTTCTGATAGGCCTCCAGGATCCTCGGTGTGAGCTGAACAATTAGAGGGAAAGAGAGACCAAATTGAGGTCTGTCCACACAAACTGTCCACATGTACACGGGTATTTTTATAAACAGAGTTTTTCCTTCTTCCATTTAAAAAAAAATCTCCGTCCACATGAAAACACAAAAGCATGCTATGAAGCACTGTCAAGAGCATGCCAAACCAACAGGTGGTGATATAATCTCAACCGTAAAGCCATGTTGGGCAATCAGTAGCCTGAAAAAGTTTCCAGTAGGCGGAGATAACAGCGCATGCTCTGATGTCATAAGCCAAAATCTCCGGTTTCGCTGTCTACACGATAACACTGCAACCTGAATTTTTGAAAATCTTTACCCTGGCAGGAGTTTTCAAAAATATTCGGTTTCAGTGAACTGGTGCTGCGTTTGCATGTGGATGAACAGCCAAATTGCATAGAAAAAGCTGCGGTTTTTAAAATACCCGCATTCGTGTGGACAGGGCCTTAAGTGCAAGAGAAACAAAAAGCATTGAAGATTACATGTTATATAATGGTTACACTTTATTTTGATAATCCACTTTAGACATTTTACTAATTATAAGTAACTTTGCAACTGCATTTCTACTAACTTAGAGTAGGTATTAGTAGACTGGTAACACTTTATTTTAAGGTCCAAATCTTACTATTAAGTAGCGGCTTATTAGCATGCATATTACTAGCATACTGGCTGTTTATTAGTACTTATTAGGCACATATTAAAGGGGTTATATGATGTTGATAAAAAGAACATTATTTTGTGTATTTGGTGTAATGAAATGTGTTTATGCGGTTTATGGTTAAAAACGCACATTATTTTCCACATACTGTACATTATTGTTTCTCCTCTATGCCCCGCCTTTCTGAAACGTGCAAATTTTTAAAAAGCTCATCGGTCTGAAAAGCGAGGTGTGCTCTGATTGGCCAGCTATCCAGTGCATTGTGATTGGCCGAATACCTCAAGCGTGTGACGGAAATGTTACGCCCCTTACCATATTGTGATGCCTTGTCCCGGCCGGAGCTATGAGACAAAAACATTAAAAGCCATTATAAACGAGGCATTTGTTGCATCCAGTGGGGACATAATTACAGATTATAATGACTTATACTGTATTTTCACGCGTTGCATTGCATCGCGCCACGTAAACATAAAACCATGTCTGCATTTGTGATCGGAGAAATGACAAACTACAAACGCAACTCTACACTGCTCAAAACTCGCGTTTAAATCGTCAATGGCAATTCTTTAAATATAAAAACATACTTACAGTCTGTGAGTCAGAACAGCCGGCATTGTAGTCTACTCTACCAGGACAGGAAACAGTCCTCCATAAAATGCACTGAACACATCGGAATATTTGGGTTGAACTGTTTTGGAACAGTGTTGTAAATACAACTTAATCACTGATTTTTAGTCGTGTCCTCTTTTGGAAGGCCAAACAATGTAGTTTCGCTTTCACAACGAAACACTGCGGGCTAGAGTGAGTGGTGGCCTAGAGTGAGCAGAGGCCGGCGCCTAGAGTGAGCAGCAGCCGGCGGCGAGGCGTGGTTGACACTTAACATTTATAAAGAATATCTCTTTGGATTTGAGACTTTAGTCTTTGCAACTTTACAGATCTTCTTTATGCACCAAGAGCTTGTAACACTCCAAAGAGAAAGAAAAAATTTAAATTGCATCATATGACCCCTTTAATGCTTTATTCTGCATGACCATATACTAGATCCCTTAACCCTACCCAATACCTAAACTTAGCAATTATCTTACTTAATATTAATAAGCAGCAAATTAGGAGTTGAGGGAAAAACTCTTAGTTATTTGTGAATATGTGTTCCCTAATCTATAGTGTTACTGTTAATTTAGGGTTAGGGTTAGTAGAATAAATTGACATGTACTTGCAAAGTTACTGATAATTGAGAGAATGTCTGTCGGGGGACTATTAAAATAAAGTGTTAGCAGATATTAAGCAGACAGTCTACTAATACTCCAATGACTGCTAGTTTGTATGTAGTTGCAAAGTAACTTATAGTTAGTGGAATAGTGTTACAAATAATGCAGTAATTAACCAGTTCAAACATGTATTCTAAATGTGATACCTGCTTGGGTTTGTACTTCTTCTGGTAGCGTGGTGAGACAAGGCTGTGTGTATTGATACTTTCATCTGTCTGAGCTGTGTTATTTCTAGGTGTGGTTTTCTGCATGGCCAAGAATGACTGAATACTCTGCACCTCACTAGAGAATGAGCTGTCAGCTAAAGTCTTGCCTTTCGAAGCCAAACGACATGCTGCCATCCATCGGCTGTACTGCTGTTCCTAAAATAAGACAGAGAGTCAGAGTTTTTCTGTAGTTTTATGTAACATAGACACAATGTACTGCTGTCCAGTTTTGGTGAACCTGTATTACTCACTGTACAGACCTGGTTCTACAAGGGTGCTAAGGACATTTTCTGTGGTGCCATCAGCCAATCAGATTTCATATATTTGCTTGCATAGCATTTATTATGCTTTTTAGAATTTCCAGATCTGAAAGCTCATATTTCTCATGGTGTGCTAAATTAAATGCTCATATCTCCAGCCGAGAAATGTCTCTGATAAAGAAACTACATCCAATATTCCTGGCATATTGGAAAGATCTAACAGTGTTGGTGTATCTAATCTAAAAAAGCCATTGGCACCAGTGGTCTTTATAATCTATTTAGGCTTTCCCAAAAACTTAAGTACTTTGAAAATACCAAGATTATTTTTTACAGAATATTTTGATGCATTTTCTGATACATGAAGAGATTAAAAACAGATGTCTAAAAGCCTTTACTTCTAATATGTTAACAAAATAAAACATAAATGTTGAACCTGGCTGTATCCCCTTCTTTTCTTGAAATGTATGAAAATTCATGGGTATTTATTTAGATCACTTAGGGTATGTTTACACAACAATGATTGTAGTCTTTTTTCTTTTTCATTTCTTTTTCATTTTTTAAAGGTTCATGTACAGACAACAGTGTTGTCAAAATGACCCCCGTTCACACGGATCTGTGAAAACTACTAAAATGTTGTGTAGGCCAGTAGTTGGCGATGTCACATTGTAAAGAAACACTACGTGCCTACACACATCCGCATTCCTATAGTATGAACATGAATAACGAAAGGGTATAATGTTTTCACAAAGTTATGTTTTCTTAGTTTAAAATGGAGACAATAACAGTATTTTTTTTTCATAAAAATTGCAGTTTCATGCCTCCAAAATGCCATTGTCATGTAAATGAACAGCTAAAATGAATAAAAAGGTTTCTGTTTTTAGATTAAAATGGTGTGGTGTAAACGCCCCCTTAGATTATAATGTCTGAATGCTTTTATTTGATGTTTTACTGCCATGTTATTGACTCATTAGGTCTAAATTGGCCACTACATACAGTGGGGAAAAAAAGTATTTAGTCAGCCACCAATTGTGCAAGTTCTCCCACTTAAAAAGATGAGTCAGTTGAGCTGTTCTACACAAATAATCATTGACTTACATGCTCACAGCGCAAGTAGACCTCATTCATGCCCTCTGGCCCAGGTATCAGCAACCTGATACAAAACTTCTGCCCAGCAACACTCACATCAGGGGCCACCTCACAACCTGTGTTGATGAAAAAGCTGTTGTGCACCTGTGTGATGTGTATATACACATTTTAACATCCATGAGAGTGTGATCACCTTTAAGGTTCATTTGTTGAATTGGCTCTTTAGAACTCTCCTCCTTACTCTTATAGTAGGAGATGGTCGTGTCCTTAAATGTAAACCAGTATTGTTTATATCCTTTCAGTGTCAGCCTTTTGGGTCTGAAAAACAGTGAAACCACAAAAATATTAGTCATAAAAGTCAGGTTTACAGTGGTGGCTAAAATTATTAGAACACTAGTATTTTCACCAGCTAAAAAATGGTGTTAAGTCAGTTATTTCTATCTTTTGCTGTAGTGTGTCAGTAGGAAATATCAGTTTACATTTCCAAACATTCATTTTGCCATTAATTGTAATAATCCAGTGAGATTTATTTTGCACAAGGTGTCTGACAACAGCCAGTGCTCCACACAGAGATCTGATCTCTTCATCATTCAGTCTGTCTGGAATGACATGAAGAAACAGAACAAACTGAGACAGACTAAATCCAGAAGAGCTGTGGCAATGTCTCCAAGATTCTTCAAGAAACCTACCTGCAAAGCTACAGTACTGTTAAAAGTTTTAGACACTTGTGTAAAAATGCCGTAAAATGAGGAAGCTGTCAAAAATAATGTCATAAATTGATTTTCTTTATCGATTAACTTCTATTAACTAAATTAAATCAACATTTGATGTGACCATCTTTTGCGTTTAAAGCAACTTTTGCCCTTGCACTTGCACATAGTTTCTAAGGTAGCTTTGCAGGTAGGTCTTTTTGGATACCACTGTATTTGTATAGCACTTTACACAATACAATACACATTGTTTCAAAGCAGCTTTATTTTATTTTATTTTTTGTATTTATGTGGGATGGAAGCTGGGTTTTGTGTCTTACCTGAATATTTTCAAGTAGTCATGTAGTTCTGGTGCTGTCATTGTTTCCTGTGTGGACACTTGAGATGTTAGATATGCAAACCGTTCACAGACCATCAAGACAGTGATTTTGGGCTGTTTTGAAACACCTAGAGTAGTATATGAAGCTCTATAAATGCTACTGCATCATATTTGATTACACAAAATTATGATACTTCTAAGACCTCTAAATTATTGTTACAATTATCAATGTGAAAACTTAGCAGATCGTCTACAACAGATTTTTCAGCAATGTGCTTTCTGCCATCTGGTTGATAGTTCATACTTTTTAGCAAGTAGAAGGCCTTTTAGTTATAGTTTAGTATAACTGTAAAAAATGTCCACCTTAAGGGCATGGTACACATATTATTTTTTGATCGGATGCAGAATTTTGTCCTGTATGAAAATAAAAAATAAACAATTGGGTATTAATAAAGACACCTTGACCTTGACATGTTTTTGCTGTGAAATCTTTACTGATTTTTATAAAGTAAACATGTTACATTTTATATTGTTACACTAATATAATTTGATATGTTTTATTCAATTAAATATTAATGAATTGAAAGTAATATTTCAAGTTGAACACACACTGAACTGAAGCAATTAATGTTTATTGATTATCCATGTATCATTTTTAGAAAAATCATAATACAATTGATCAAATATGATACTTCAAGGTTTAGAGGAACTATTATTTGTAAATTTCTCAATTAATGCATCAATATATTGCATTAAATAATCATCTTGCATCATTAAATATTATCCTATTAAGATGTTAATGGGGGATATAGAGTGAAGACCGATCTTTATATGCATTTTATGTAAGTAGTCTGCTATATGGTTATATAGATCTCATTAATTTGCAATGGAGTCCAAACCTTCTGCTGTCAGTCTAAAGGTCTAGTTATGCAGGACTTAAGTCTCTCCTTTGCCTTCCCCTTTGTGATCCTCTGATCATCCCTTGGATTTGGCTGCAGTGGTGGACTGTTTCTCAGTATACATCTCTCCCACAGACTCTGATTCTGACTCTCACTTGGTTACTGTGTTTGATTAGACTGTCTTTGTTTGATTTGACTTTACACTCTGGTCAGTATAGACCCAGGTGAGATATCTCCTGTCTACTCAGTGATGGAATTCCATAGATTTACGCTGGGTCGTCATGACTGAGGAGGAGATTGCTTATGCTCTGGTTTCTCGGGTAAACCAAGCTCTTGGGCCAGCTTTGCTGAATCTAGATCAAGCTGAATTTTGGGATCCCAACTGCTGCCACTGTTTGTCCTTCCCACAAGCATTGGATCAACAGCTGTTTACTGTTGTGAGCCTGCTGGTCAGTTCTTCATGATTTAATGTGAAGTGGTGTTCTTTCTCTAGCCACAGACATACATCATGGTGAGGTCCAAGGTGGTCTCTCTCCTCAACGGATGGGTTGTGACTGAGAAGCTGCTGGGAACTGTCACGTAAGATTTGTAGTTTTTAAAGCAAAAAATCACACAAACCTGAAAGTACAACTGTAAACCAGTCATCAAAAGGAGTACAAATCCTTCATGACAAAAGATTTTGTGACAAAGTAGGCAAGAGCAGTGCTAGTAGCTCTCAATCTCAATTTAAGAAGCAACAAACTCTGACCTTGTGCTTCCAAAGAGCTGAGGTTTGAGCAATAAATTCACATGAATATAAGAAATCAAAAACTGCACTTTTAGATTTGTTTGACACTGTATGTACACTAGATTGTGTGATTCAGTAGTGCTGCATGGATTAATGCTGCCTTCACGTCCTATCGGAAATGTCCTATTTCCCACTTTTGAAGTCGTGATTAGGAGCTTGTCCTATTCAAGTGCTTTGTTGTCGGAAAGAACAAAATGTAGCATCCTATTGGTTTAGAATCATGTAAATATTCACTGTGCTAAGTAGTCAGCTTGCTGACAATTCTGGAAGTTTGGTCAAATACATGCTTGTTTCACTGTTTATAAAACATATAATATGCTTCAAATGATTGTTCATATATTGCAATACACTACTTTAGCGACAGAACAAAGTGATGTTGTTGTGGAAAAAACTAATAAAGAATAGCATTGACAGCAGTAATGGTTCTCCCCTCCACCGTGTTTAAAGTTTATGGCCCACCCAACTCGGAAAGTCTGGTATCAAAATTATCTCAAGAGTTTCCCAGTAGTAAATACAACTTGAGAGGCATTCACGTCTAAATTCCGATTAGGAAACTCGATTCCCTGACTGCACTAAAATGCAAACCACAACTCAGCATGTGAAAGCAATGTTGAGAGAGATGTGTAAAATGACTTCATGTGTATATGGACTGACAATCATTAAGTTAAGTGGTCTAAATGTATTTATCTGTATTTATACATTCTGTGGAAAGCGTAGGACCAAGAAATGTTCATCCAATCAAAACGCTCGGTCCGAGCGTTTTAATTGGCTTTCCCACCTGCCTGTCAAACATATGTATTTGCATACCTCTGCGCACCCTGTTCGCGCAGACAGGATACGTCATCAGCGCATTCACGCACGCTGTGCAGACAGAGCGAGAATGGCAGACAAACATCAACACCCTTCCTTCCTGGTATTGTAATACTTTTACTAACTGTACTATAACGTTTTCTCACCGGTGAATGACACATGATGTAGCCCAATGCGGTTCCCAATTCCAGTCCTTGCGCCTCCCCGCTCTGCATATTTTGCATGTCTCGCTTAGTTAACACACCCGATTCAGATAAGCAGCTCGTTTAGAAGTGAGCTACGTGCATGAACTGTGTTCCGATTGACATGCTCCCTACACAGTAGGGGGGGGGGGGAATTGGGAACCTATTGTAGTAATTAATGTTGTCTCTGGTATTCTGGTCTTTGAGCGTATATGCGTTCAGGGGGCGTGGCTTTGGACAGCGATTTCAGGGAGGGTGTGACATTCGCTTTCAGTACTATCAGACTAAAGTTAGCCTTTTCCAAGATCTCCTACTGCACTTTTGATTTTGTGATACAGGGGCATGCTTTTACCATTCCTTTCAATCATTGCTATCCACCTGGATAATCGCATAGTTTTGCACTTCAGAATCTTCCATCAGGTTATGGTTTGATTCTTCTAATCTCCCTTCTGCTTCCTGAGTGGCGGAAGGTGGCATCTAAGCCTGAGCCCATGCAGGTGGGTAGGTTGTGTCTTACTATGGAAGAGAACCAGTGGCATCCTTCCAATGGTCTGTGTCTTTGTGTCTAGTAAAAGCTCTTGCACGTGAATAACCAGGTGAGTTCTGGTAAGCAGAACTTCTGTCTGTTCTATTTACTAGTCCTTGTACCCTCTTGCCAGTCTCATTGATATTCCACAACAGCACTCATCAATGCTCTTTGCTCATCGACTCAGGAGCTGAGGGTAATTTCATGGACATATTTGTCTGTGTCTGTCCAGCAGCTGGTATGATTTGTGTACCTTCGATACCTTGTATCTTTTTCCCCTCTCTCCAGGTGCACATCCAGAACATCAGATGCATGACCCAAAGGCTGCTGGAGAACCAGATTTAGATTAAGGCAGAAAAGTAATAATTCCATTTCCAACCAGTTCTGTTCTTGAAGTCCTTTATCTTGAGGGAAATGGTACTAATTGACCCTGCAGTGGTATAAGAGCTTTAACTATAGTTGGCCATTTGCCTGGCCTGTGCAAAGCCGACAACAAGTCCTGGGCTTTGCCAAATTCTATGCAAATATGGCACTTTTGCTGCTCCAGATGATGTTCCCCCTCCTGATACCACAGCCCATGGCCTGTTATGGGCTTCCTTCCATCCATTGGCAATACTGTGTTCCTTACCATGGTGGATCAATCCTCCAAGATGGTCCACTTTGTTCCCATTCCTAAACTCCCATCTACTAGAGCAGTGTTTCCCAACCGGGGTGCCATGTAAAAAATATTTTTTAAATATTTTTAAATTGCTAAAATGTTCAAAAAAGCATCTATTATATATTTCTGTATTTCTGATGTCGCCAATAATTAGAGATGCACCGAAATTCCGGCTGCCGAAAATTAGTTCACTGCTCAGGTTTCACTTTCACATGGTGTGACGTTCTGTGTATTATCCCGCTCTATGCGTGTGCGCTCCGCTCAGTCGCTCCACTCGTATACCATTCATGCTCATCGGAACAGCAAAGTCCACTCAAACATTGAACTGACAGGAAACATTGATGTAGTACAGTATTGTTTCTGTCTGCAATAGCCCTACTGTGTTGTAACATGGTGTGGTATATGGGCAACTCTGGTAACGCTGCCCTCTCATTCATTGATCTGCTAACCGCTATGCTATGCTCACGTGTTCTGATAATAATAGCTTTCTAGGACTAAACATTATTTGGATAATTGGTAAAAAAAAAAAAGTTAAATATCTTAACCCTACTGTTAGACCTACCTGAAAAACTAAAAAGCAATTGATTTAATTTGAAGGCCTGTCGTTATTTTTTATTTGTGCTATCATTATTAATTTCTTTATATGTTCTTATTTTATTACTGACTGCTTACTTCTATCTATAATTTTCTAATTATCATATCGAAGTTAGAAATTCAAATATTGTGACAAAATTAATTTTGTAGGGTGTCAAAAGTTTGTTAAAATTTTCAAAGGGTGCCGCGACTAAAAAAAGGTTGGGAAACACTGTACTAGAGCATTGGTTCTCATCTCTGGTCCTGGGAACCCACAGAACTGCATAGAACTATCACATTTTTTTAACACTTTAACACATTTCCCACATAATTACCCAACAAATACTAATATAGTTGGTTTAGTTTAACACACAATAACACTACAACAGGGCACGTTGTCATAGTTGTCACAATGGGAACCTACTGTGTTTTATGGACTGGAAGCAACCCTGCTCACGTAGGGTTACATTCCTGCAGACTTTAGCTCCAATCCTGCTCCAACATCTGCATGTATTTTTCTAGTCATCCTGAACACCTTGATTAGCTAGTTCAGATGTGTTTGATTAGGTTTGGAGCTAAACTCTGCAGGAGCAGGGTTCCCACTGTGGCAAGTTACCCAAAATAGTATGACAACATGCCTTGCTATAGTGTCACTGTGTGTTACATGAAGTGTGTGTTATATACTCGTAATTTCCTGGGCAATAATAGAGGAAATGTTCAAAATTGTAGCTATAGTAAAGACTTTCCCAAGACTTGCATTATAGACGGAGCTACCCAGAATTAAACATATTATTCAGTAACTATTGATACCTATTCAATACTAAAATAAAGATTTTATTTCAGCTAGTCTGTAAAAGAAGCACACTAGAACAGACAAAAGTATACACTGGAACAATCCAGAAAAGCAAGGAATATGTTAGTACATGATTAGTTTGGTGTAGACTTGTCCTACTGTTTTGATCATGTGAATATGTAAATGTGTGACTCTACAGGCTTTGTTAAACTTGTCTTTTGAAGGGCTGTGTATATGTCATGAAACTGACCAGCATGTCATCTGCACTGCTCTCTCCTTCCATTTTCACCTCCAGACACTGTAGAGCCGAATCCAGATCTTCCATAGCTGGACAAGATGCCACAAACTGCTCTGTCAGAGATACTTTTCCAATGTGGTACTGATGTAATCACACACAGAGAGATCATAAAACATAAAAACACTTTTCACTATAGCTCCAGTTGTGTTAGAACATTGCTCACAATCTCAATGATCACAATGATAGATCACTGTCCATTTGTATGGTGAGTTGATATCTGTTTTCTATCACCTATACCTGCAAGGCAGCGAAGACCATCATCTCCTCCTCAGTGCATTCAATTTCCTCCAGCAGAATGGCCCACCTTGCCTGTTCATACAACTGTGTCAGCCGCACCACGTCAGCCTGGCAGATAGATTCATGTGTTTTTTTCATAATTTTATGGGGGGGAAATAGGAAAGGACAATAAGATCCAATAAGAATTCAACATTTAAATAAAATGTAAATAACACATTTAAATAAAATAAATAAAAATATATACAAGTACAGTAAATACATAAATACAAAAGGTACAAAATACAAGATGCTGTACCAACCTGTGGTATGATGTCATGAAAAGTATAGTATTTGAAACGCAGTAAGAGTTTATCATTTTCTTTGACTCCCTGTTGTAGAAGAGAACGGGACGAATCCAACCACCTGAGCAGAGATTTCAGAACAAAACAGAACAAGTATATTCTCAAATATTTTCAATGCATTGTATTTGGGGCATGGAGTGCAGATTGATGTAAAAAATGAAGCTTTTCAGTATGAGGGTGCAACAAAAAATGAGAAAAAGTGACAAGGAGTGAAGCAGTGAATATTTTCTGAATGCACAATACAGTACCTTTTTTGCATACACAATATGCAATATTTCACTGAATTTAGTCATCCTGAAAACCAGATGTTGCCAAGTGTATTACCCTACCTGCTGTTAATATGTGCTTTCTCCATTATGTTAGTTGTCCGATACAGCTTAGCAATGGTCTCTGGTGCTGGAGCAGGCTGACTGACCGCCAGCATTTTGTACACAGCCTCAGTTTCAGGTGTTTCAGCAAAGAAAGCAGGCATGCCATTGGTTAGCTTCAGGATTGTGCCTGCAATTGCATATATGAACATCAGAGCAGCTTTACCTGACCTTTACTTGTTTGTGTGTATAAGTAAATAAATATCATTTGTTTGTTTATTTAGTTAGTTAGTTAGTGTAAGCATACTTTGAATTGGGTCTTATATTTATGTGTATTGGTTTGGAATTAATATTTTCTTTATATGTATTGCTCACTTGACGTAAGTGGTGCGCATGTGATGTCATACACCTCTTCCCCAACATCTTTATCTTTCTTTTTCTTCTTCTCTTCTACTGGCCATAGAAGGGATAGTTCCTCTGGGCGGCGATTGTCTAAAGAAGACAAAACAAAAGTAGTCTTGTGCAATAGTCAAATCAAACCACATGTGGTTTGAAAAAGCTATAACTAGAGCTTTCATTTTTGCAGACACTGACCCGTCCTGAACTTACTGGTCATAAATTAACATAAATGAATGCATATTTTCAGCAACAGACTGTTTCTGTATAGATGATCTGAAAGTTAAAAGCTAGAAGAGCTATAGATGATTTGAACTCATCACTCACTCAGGAGTTTGCATATGCCCATGACGGTGCGGAATATGGGGCTGGAGAAGCAGACTCTCATTCGGAGGATGATGCCGCTGGGCATTACCAACCGCAGGGGCTTGTGCTGGGGTGTGAGGCAGAGTCGGGCATCCGCATGAATCCCACATTTATCCAATGTCCAGGACGGTTTCAGTAACCACTGCAGCTTCTGTTCCCACCACAGAGCATGATCGGACCAATCCTTTTTTATTTCTAAAGAGGAGAAAAAAATGTGTCGGTCTCCCTTACCTAGTTCCAGTCCAATATGATTTTATTTCTTCCATGAAACACAAATAAAGATGTTTTGAAGAATGACTTTAAAAATGAGAGAACTGCATTTAGTATTGTCAAATGTGGACCACATGTGGTTTAAATATGTGTAAAATTATTGGGGTGGGGAATGGCATAGGGAAAAAATTTAAATAAAAAAATTAATAAAAAATTCAATATATATACATTCTCATGTTGTTCCAAACTCGTAAGATTATGCTTCTTCAAATATTTTGAAGAATGTTTTAACAGTTTTGGTCCATACATTTTAAGTCAGCGGGGTCCACACAACATTATAGAATCTTTTTGGCTTATTTATTTATTGTTTGTTTGCTGGTCTGTTTATTATCATATCATATCATAATGAACTACTGCTTTAATAATGACACATTGTATGTCCTTTTTTGTGGCTAGTCCAGTTGGTGTTAACTTTGTAAAATGTGGGGAAATTTATATTTATATAATAAAAATAACACATTTGTAGAAAACTGTTACCAAAATGGATCTGAGAATTGCTTTGAAAGACCTGAGACTTAGACTGTGTTAGAGAATTATGGACATGCCTGAAATCAGCAATCCTAATGCCCTTAAAGCCATTGCAAAAACTCTGAATATTATTTAAATTCACAAACATCAGACATCAACTCACGTGACTTTTCCACAACTTTGAGGATGACTCCACCAATATGTAGGTCCGAGGTGACACTGATTTTAAGAGGTGGGGCCTCCAGTCCCAGTTCCTCTACAGAGACGGACAGGTCCCACACTGCCATTCTAGTCTGAATACAGATGCCATAAGACGGTCATTCTTCCACAATCTCAGCTATTTCCCTTTTTTATAGTTTTGCATTTAATCTGTTTAACCTGCTAACCTGCTGCTTTCTAACTAGATTTAATCAGCACATTTACAGATAGGTGGCTGACAAATAACATGGAAATAACATGACATATAAAAAGTAATAAAATATTATATACTTTCTAAATCACGTATAACCTTGACCAGTGGAATGCTTCCACAATATCAGCTATTTCCCTTTTTTATAGTTTTGCATTTAATCAGTTTAACATGCTTTAACTTTAATCAGCACAATTTCAGATGGGTGGCTGCTAAATACAAATAACATGACATATATAAAACGTATAACATTACTTATTACTTTCTAAATCCCATATCAACCTTGACCAGTTGAAAAATACAAGAATAGGCATGAAACTGTAATTAAATTACAGAAAAAAAATTGTAATCCCTTGCTTTACTTTTTAAAGGGAAATTTAATTACAGTAATGAATTACAACAATGTGTGTATATGTACACACACACACACAGAAAGAGAGAGTAAAATTTAAATCTAAGGCCTGTATAAAAGTACTTTGCCTTTTTAAAACTTTCCCAGCACTTTTGTTCTCTACATTTTCCTTGATTGATTTATTAAACAACTACATTACTAAAATCCTGTTTAGTAATGTAGTTGTTGAGATTAGGTATTGGGTAGCATTAGGGATGTAAAATATGGTCATGCCAGCAGAGTATGTGCTTTATAAGTAAATAACCAATATGCTAGTTATATGCATGCTAGTAAGCAACTAGTTAGTAGTGAGAATTTGTTCCTATACTAAAGTGGTACCAAAAAATCTAACCTTTGTTAATTCACATGTAGCAGGGTGCACCAGGAATATTTTACACTGTGATTAAAATAATAAATAAATAAACTTATGAAATGATTATGACAAAACAAAGATAATCTCTCTACGGTACGATGTCTAGGCCTGAAGGCTCATGCGTGCGCACCTTCTCTTCTAAACCTTATAACAGCCATCAGACAAAACATCCCACCCTTCCTTTCTGTTGCGTTTCTTTTTTGTAATTTCTGTGTCTTACCTTGTATGGTTGTGGTTCCAAAAATGTTAAGCGATGTACAGACTACGCCCTTAGTCTCTAGCACTTTCTATCTGCCTCTCTCAAGAACTTGTGAGACATGTGCTGTCACTTCCTCCCACTTTTTTCTGTCTTTCTCTGCTGAGGTTTCACCCCATCTATGCGAGTGAATGGCTCTTCTCTTTTTCAGACTGATTTCTTAAGGGTTCAGCTACCCATAAATAGGTTTCTCTTCCTCTTCCTGTGATAGAGATGCACTTTTAAAATGAAACAAAGCCATATACAGTTTTTTTTCTTTATGTATGCAGGGTTTTTTTTTAACAGAAGACATCTAGAAGACTTCTGCTCCCACAATACAGTTTAATCAAGTTGACTTTTTCTTATGATTACTGCACTTATACATCAACTGTTAAACAGGTAACTATATAGTGCTCTCTGCTGGATAGATTTGGCAGAACTGAGATTATTTATTTAAAAGGTGATATAAATCAATTACTATTATTGTATCAGTTTAGGATGAAAAAAAAAACTTTAAACTACATTATGTAGCTGTTGGCTCTCTAGCGGTTAAAAAAGTACAACTTCATGCATCTTGCGAAAAAACATTGTTTTGCTTGTGCTTTGGCTCTGCACCTCCGAGTAGATGAATGTGTTTCGAGGCAGAAGTGTAGAGATAAAATACATTATATCAGAGCGGATGGACAAATAATTAAGGTGCTTTTTACACCCGGTGATTCCCATAAATTTATAATTCATACCATCCATCCATCCATCGATTTTTTTTGTTTGTTAGATGACATAATTTGAAGGATTAATGTTTTCCCATCTATTATTAACATTTTATCAAACATATTGTTTAAACTGCAATTTAAAGTACAAAGAACGTGTGAAACGTATTGTAGTCAGAAGCTGCTTCCTTAATGGGATAGTTCACCCAAAAATGAAAATTATGTAATTTACTCACACCTGTGTTCCACACCTGTATGAGTTTTTCTTCTGCTGAACCCAAAAGAAGAATGGAAGTAGTTGGTGTTAGCCATACCAAAGGATTTTAAGCGGGGAAAAAATACTCCTCATGCAGGTTTGGAACATCTTAAAGGCATAGTTCAGTTCACCAAAAAAATTACAATTCTGTCATTTACTTTTAAGTAAACCAACAGCCACAATATGTTGCTTCTACCCATTTTGCTGGTTTCTATATCTGGTCCAAGTCAACCCAGCTGGTAAACCAGGATAGTACCACTCCATTACTAAAATATTGGCAATACTTTTATAGAGCTAACCAGTCAGTGGATGATCAAGTGTTTGCTACAAGCTAACAACAAAACAATCCTTGACTGCATTGCACTATTACCAGAGTTAAGTTTTAAGTTAATACTTATTGAGTTGACCAACAGGATGTGGATATGTAAAAACATACATTTTAACATTAGATGCTATATTTTGGTGTTATATAAAATTTTTGTATATAATCATTTTATAGTCTATACAGTATTTAATGCAACTACATCAGGAGTAATTGTAAAGCTGACGATACATGGGGCAAAATTTGTGAGCAATATTGCTTGGGAACTTTCCCATTGACAATGGGTAACAAATTTCTATCTGGATATTTTAGATGGGACATGGACCCTGTGTCTCATCTGGTTGCCCACTGACGGCAACATTGCCCAAAAAGTTGCCCCGTGTATCATCAGCCTAAGCTACAAATTGGCTACAACAAGCGGACGGCAGATCAACACTGTATTAAGTGCATCGACTGACAAACATGCACAACATGAACATGCAGCATAGCACTGTTTGAAACTGTGTATACTGTGTGTAAATGTGTATACTAATATATATATATATATATATATATAGGAATAGTAGACCGTAGCACGATTTTGCTTCTTGTTCAGTCGATTAACACTGAAAATTGATGGTGAAGCTGAACACATTGCATGGTGTAATACAGTACTCCAAACATTGTGTTGGGGTTGTATATTGCACATTGTATTGTTTCATAGGTCATCCTAGCATCCACTACATCCTGTTTAAATATTTAGCAAAACTTACATAATACAAATATAGTATTAAATAGTAGTATAGAAATAGTAAGCGATATTGTAATGTACCATTCCAAACATGGAATGAACAATAAATGCATGTTGATTTACACAAATGTCACACAACTTCATGGATCCAGAACTTTATTAAACTGATTTCAGCTTCACCACATTGAAATGCAACCATCACAGTCAGTTAATCGATCGCAAACTATGAACCGAAGCCAAACATGTGGGAGGCCCTCTGAGCTATGACGCTCTCCCCCATGAATAGAAGTGCATTATACAGTCGTACAGTCGTGACATAATTTTGTGTTTTGAAAAATTTGCTGCTTAGGCTGTTGTGGCGTTCATTCACATTGTTTCTACATTATGTCACTGCCAATACTTGTAGAAATGATGTGAATGAACACCACAACAGCTTAAGTAGCTAATTTTGCAAAACACAAAATTTGTGTAACTGCCAATACTTTTGGCCACGACTGTATAGTACAATAATAGCGATGCATTCACATTCAGAGACAGACAGATTTCTAACAGGCCTACTATTTGAAAATTAACCACTGATGGCGAGCTGATGTCACAATACTTCCCTCACCTTCTCCTCCAAAGAATGGAAGAAACAAAACCCCCCACATACAAAAACCATAAGAGAACAGATTCAGAACGAATCTGCATTTAATCTGCCAAATACTGAGCTGTAAAAAATACATACAAGAAAAAAATAAAATAAAATAAATAAAACTGCTTTTAATATTAAGGTTCAAACCCCACTCTTTAATACACTAATGTATGAAAAATAAAATGTCTGAAAACCATGACAACTGATAATAGTGAATGTAGTGCTGAGGCAATACCAATTGGCCACATTTTTAATCCAATTAAGGCTTCAAAAAAAATAAAAAATTAATGGGATGAGTGGGAGGAGAAGAGTTAGGGTGCCTGTTAAATTTGATGAATAATTTGTTTGGAATGCCGCCATCCTTCGTAGTCTTCCTGTTGCTGTTCTGTAGATGAAAAATGTCCTGGGTTTTCTTCTGGTTCCTTTGATCACCGAATTGCTATTAGCCCAACATCTATCAGTTTCTGAATTTTCTGAGCGATGACAGGGTTCTTTAGATGACTAGATGGACAGAAGGGAAAAAAAATGAAATGAGACACTGAAAAATCCTAAATATTTACATTATATGAATGTCACAAATTCAAGAACATGTCTGGACACATTTTTAAATTTTTCTTAAAGCAAAAAAACCCAAAATTTTTTTGTACCATTAAGAGTTTTTGTATTTTTCATTTTCATTACAATTATGGATTCCCCCTAATACTCATTACTGTATTTTTTTTTTTAACTTTGCATAAATTCTGGTAGTATTTGTTGTATTTCGTGATTTTTTATTTATTTTTTGAATCTTAATTTGTTGTCAATCTCTTACCTCACATTTTAAAGGGTGGTCACACCACACATTTGAAATTCAGGATTGCAGATTTGCAGTAAGGTGAAGAATGCATGTTTTTACATTTTGGTTAAATTATGTTTAATATTTTTGTGTTTCACAAAAAAAAAAAAGACACTTCAGAGTGTGATATCATATCACAGTTGCAGTGCTTAAAGTCTACTGTGACTATGACTTTGTATCTCACTAATCTACACCCCCAGCTCAGTTCATGCAGAGACAATATTAGTTGAATCAAGAGTACTAGATAATGGAAACATCCAGTGCACTGGGGAAGCCCAGAACCACTGCAAAATACTGAAAATAATACTTGAATGGTTTCTTACTCGCTGAGGGCCTGTGGGTCTTTCTGCATCTGCTCTAAGATCATGCGCATGGCAGGATCACTCATGATCTGCTGCACCTCTGGGTCGGCCATAGCCCTCCGTTTCACTTCCTCTGGGCTGTCGTTACGCATTGCTTGGCTCACCATACAGCGTTGCAGACCCTCTGTGGCCTCCTGCAGTGAAAGAGGAATAGATAAATATAAATGTTAATATGTCAGGCCATCATCACCAGCACAATCCTCCTCAAACTCAGAGATAACGGAGCAGGTCATGTATACCTTTGAGTTGGAGTCAAGCTCGAGAGCTTTCTGGTACACATCCATTGCTTTAGAGAAATCCTTCATAGCCTCCAGTGCTGCTCCCTTGCGTGTGTAACCCTTAACTAAAAGTGAGTGGATAGTTATAAGGTGCAAATATATATATACACACACACACACACAGTGGTGTGAAAGTGTTGGCCCCCTTCCTGATTTCTTATTTTTTTGCGTGTTTGTCACACTTTAATGTTTCAGATCATCAAACAAATTTAAATATTAGTCAAAGATAACAAGTGAACACAACATGCAGTTTTTAAATTAAGGTTTTTATTATTAAGGGAAAACAAAATAAAAACTACATGGCTCTGTGTGAAGAAGTGTTTGCCCCCCAGTTAAAACTGTGGTTTATCACACCCGAGTTCAATTTCTCTAGCCACACCCAGGCCTGATTACTGCCACACCTGTTCACAATGAAGAAATCTCTTAAATAGGATCTGCCTGACAAAGTAGACCAAAAGATCCTCAAAGCTAGACATCATGCCGAGATCCAAAGAAATTCAGAAACAAATGAGAAAGAAAGTAATTGAGATCTATCAGTCTGGAAAAGGTTATAAAGCCATTTCTAAAGCTTTGGGACTCCAGCGAACCACAGTGAGAGCCATTATTCACAAATGGCAAAAACATGGAACAGTGGAGAACCTTCCCAGGAGGGGCCGGCCGACCAAAATTACCCCAAGAGCATAGCGACGACTCATCCAAGAGGTCACAAAAGACCTTAACTGAGGCAAATCACTTGCCTCAGTTAAGGTCAGTGTTCATGACGCCACCATAAGAAAGAGACTGGCCAAAAATGGTCTGCATGGTAGAGTTCCAAGACGAAAACCGCTGCTGAGCAAAAATAACAAAGGCTAGGGCCATGTCGTTTTGGATTTTATTTTCCCTTAATCATAAAAACCTTCATTTAAAAACTACATGTTCACTTGTGTTATCTTTTACTAATATTTAAATTTGTTTGATTAACAAAGAGTGAAAAATTTAAGGGGGTCTGAATACTTTCCGTACCCACTGTATATCTCTCTCACACTCACATGGAAGCTGAGAAAACAAAATGTATAGCACTTACTGAAGTTTGGGTCCAGTTTGATGCACTCCTCACAGTCCTGATAAACAGACCAAGAGGTGATGGTTAACAGTGACCGGACAGGATGGTAAATAGGTCAACCAACTAGTCAAGTAGTGACAAAGTAGAATCAGTTTTTTCCCAGTTATTGTGCTGTTAATTGTTAATGCTCTTAAATTTCTCAGAAAGTGTTAATGTGATGATGCTCTGAGAAGTTGCATCTATAAATTCCTCCCCTTTGAATCACAACAACTACAGCAATAACAACACTGTCTCTTGAACAAATTCAACATGCTCAAGTTTAGACTATTATAATCAGAAGATGTCCATTTTTTTTTTCTAAAGCCAATGATAGTTGTGCAATAGAACATAGAATAGTACAGATCAGACATTGACAGATATAAAGGCTAGAGTCACAAGGGAGCGGTGGGGGGGGGGGGTCTTATGCACTTAATTTATCCATTCATTGTATTCATTACATAGTGTTATTTAACTGACCACCTGTGTCTTTCTTGTGTTAATACAGCAAGTAGCTCTACAAGTCACCAATGTGTCACGAATCCTTCAGATTAGTCTGCTGAAAAACTCTCTCCAATATACATACTTTATTTATTTGTCAATCCTCCTAGATTTACAGTACAGGAAAAAATCAGGTAACACTTTAGATTAGAGAACACTATTCACTATTAAAGGGTTAGTTTACCCAAAAATGAAAATTCTGTCATTAATTACTCATCCTCATGTTGTTCCAAACCCACAAGACCTCCGGTCATCTTCAGAACACAAATTAAGCTATTTTTGATGCATTTTGACGTAGCAAGGAGATCGATAAAATAATTCATGTGACATCAGGGGTTCAACAGTAATTTTACGAAGCTACGAGAATACTTTTCGTTACGTAGCTTTGTAACATTACGGTTGAACCCTTGATGTCACATGGATTATTTTACCGTTCTCCTTGCTACGTTTCTGGACTTTGATCGTGTAAGGACCCTTGCTGTCTATGGAAGGGTCAGAGAGCTGTCAGATTCCATCAAAAATATCTTAATTTGTGTTCCGAAGATGAACTGAGGTCTTACGGGTTTGGAACTACATGAGAGTAAGTAATTAATGACAGAATTTTTGGGTGAACTATCCCTTTAACTAGCTGCTTATTAGCATGCATATTACTAGCATATTGGCTGTTTATTAGTACTTATAAAGCACATATGAATGCCTTATTCTGAACGACCTTCTAACCCAACCCAATACCTAAGCAGAACTACTACTAACAACTACCTTACTTATTATCAATAAGCAGCAAATTAGGAGTTTATCAAGAGAAAAGTCTTAGTAAATTGTGAATGTGTTCCCTAATGTAAAGTGTTACCTAAAATTCCATAGCTGGTGCCCCGAGGAAAAAGGATGGAGTCATCCGATACTTTCATACTCACCTTAAATAACATGTGAGACAAACTCACAACATGAACATGATCTAGCCCACTATAAGTGCTTCAAACAATCTGTGTGTTTGTTTGCATGATTGTACCTTGAGGGCCAGCTGGAATTCCAGTAGTTTGGTGTAGCAGGCAGCTCGGTTGCTGAAGAGTTTTGCATCATAAGGGTTTCTCTTGATAGCCTCTGAGTAATGTTTCATGGCCAAAGGATAGTCACCTACATATCACACAGCAACAGAACAAATGAAATTGCAATCTAAATTATTTGAAAACAAATTTTAAATCAGAACGTTACAGCAGTGTTGATTTGGTTCATATACACACCCTTCTGGAAGGCATCGTTGCCCTTGTTTTTTTCTTCCAGTGCCAAATCTGGATTGATGTAGGCATGCTTCTCCTGTTCCTTTAAAATCTTTTCCGCCTGTAAAGAGCAGGAAGAAATAGCTTCCCATCAACAAAAGTTTTGAGTATAGATATTTTTAGTTTTATGTCTCAATTCACACTACTTAATGCTAAAATTCGTTTTTTTTTATTTTTATAAATGGAACAGTATTTTTCTTTAAAAAAATCCTCGTGACAATTTTTTAAAAGCTAAATAAACTTCTTAATTACTTTCATTTTCAGGTGAAATATGACCAGGACACCAAAGTTTAACAGAAAAAAAGAGAGATATACTAGGGTATATTGGTGTGAATCTTTCACCAAAAATCTCAATGACCTGCTGGCATTTCTTGAGGACTTCAGGTGTGCGATGTTCTGTCAGACTCTTATTAAAAAACTGGACTGCCCCTTTGTACTTCTCCTGCTTATAATAGGAGTTACCAATCCTGGCGTATGCCCTGCAACCAAACAGAGACAAATAAATCATTATAGAGGTACCATAAATACATTAACTCTTACTTTTCAGTTTTGTTCTGGTACAGAAAATTTACTTGGCAATCTGTCTGTAATCCTCCCGGTTCTCTCTGCCCACCTCAATGGCTTTCTCACAAAGCTCTCTGCACTTATCAAACTCCCCCTTTTCAAAATGCACAGCTGAGAGAGAAAACAGACACACTTAATTAGAAGTATTCACTTGTAGTAGTTGTGGGTTTGTGAGAGTAGTTAAGGTAGTTATATCCTACATAAGACTTTATTAAAACTCCTCACCAAACCTTTTATCTTCACACTTGAACAAAAGCTAAGTGGAAGGTCAAAGACTAACAAACACCATAAGGGGGCGTACACAAGATTATTTTGCTGCTATGCATGCACTGTTGTCAAATAAGTGGTTAAATGGTTGTTCACACAGAATGTGTATTTGCATTCCATTCCATTGCTATTCATTTAAATGAAGCTGAGATTAAATAAAATATGAATATTTGATGAAAAACGAAATTAAATAAACTTTGCAACTGAAATGGAATTAAATTGAAGCACTAAAATTACTAACTGGAAATTCAATCTAAATAGTAATACATTCATTTATTCAACTTTATTTCAGTACAATACACATTAAAACAATTATACCAATGTTTTCTCATAAGTGACTGATCACACCAGAGTAAGCCTAGGATATGACAGCAACATTATAATAGCATTCTGTGAATCATCCAAAATGCAGTCAATCGATAAAAAAATAAAATAATTTTATTGCACAATTTTCTCAAATTAATCGTAACTAATCCCACCTAACATTCAAGTTTTTAAATATACATTTATATTGCAATAATTTCACATTTAATCTTCAAATTAATGTAGAAACATCATAAAGACAGTATATCTTTAACATTTGTTTAATGGAATCTTTTTAATGACTGAAGGTGAGTATCACTGGCTACGTTTACACACAACCAAATAATCCATTTGTAATTCGGACTGAAAAGCCTTCACGTAAACACCTTAATCGATCCAAAAGAAATTTCAACTGGATTGAAAGAGGTGGTTTATTCCTTTTCTAATATGATTGAGAGCGCATGTAAATGCTTGATCGGATTGAAAACCGAAACTGAAATGACTGCGCATGTGCAATGATGCAGAAATAGCGTAATGACATATGACGCGTGGAACGAGCAGTTCTTCCTTTTGAATAAAGCATTGTATAAATGCGTGTCCTGTCATTATAAAACTCTCCTTTCACTTGGCAACTATGAAGTGGAGTAGGACAACATCCCACCAGTCCTTGTTTCGGATTCTCATCCACAGATGACTGGTTTTGCATGCGGGGAAGGGCATTTTTACTGCGTAATAAATATGAGCAGCATGACACAGCAGTTTATATACTCATTTTCACCAAGTTATGGCCAGAAATGGATAAATATTAATTCTGCTGTTTAAAACAAATAAAGAAACAGTGTAGGAGAATGGTTATTATGCTCAAACAGCAGGAAACTTTCTATATGCTTGCAGTGTGCGCATGTAAAAAAAATCAATTGATTTGAAGCTTGTGACATGAACTCTAAATAAAGTGATCAGGTTGCTTTAAATGTTTATGTAAACACTACATTCAGATTCATCAATCTGAATGAATTCAATCCAATTGAAACAAAAGTTGTGCATGTAAACATTGCCACTACTACCAATACTACTGATGTCTCTAGGAAATTGTTCTTTTTTTCCTAATATTTATCCACTGACTATATGTAATGTTGACTATACTAACATTACAGTATAATTGAGATCTATCAATTTGAACATTTATTAGACCTTGATGAAGTTACTAAAGAGGTGGAGTCTGATGACAGTCTGTTATATGCACAGGTGCGTGAACAGTTGCGCTGTGCTTGCTTTTCTAAATGTAAACTACAAGGTACACTATTAGTGCCATCTAAACATACAAGGGGTGATCAAAAATTCAGAGACTATGCCCATGATAAACAACGGAAAACTGTCCTCTTCAGGGTAATATTAGTCTGTTTGTGTAATGAAGTATAGCGCTCCTGACAGACAGATCTCGTAAAACCCATGAAGTGAATCAGTCTCTATTTAAACCCGTTTTTCTCAACATTCCATTTCTGAAAATAATAGCTATCAGCCAACTTCAGACAGCCATAACTTTTGTTACGTTCAAACTATGGACAAAATAAAAACAGTTTAAACCCAGTTTTCATATGGTATCAAAACCTAAAAAAATTTCACCATGTGGTGGGTTTTCCTAGTTCGCATAACATATTTACCTGTGCCCTTCAGCAAGTAGGAAATACACAGAAATTGAATAATTGAAATTGAAGTTGTCAAAAATAACTTAATCTAAATTAAATATAGATGAATCCTTAAAGCTACAAAGATATTGATGACCTCTTTTTTCTTTTGTTCTTTGATTAACAGATATCACAGCAGCTGGGCTATTAGGTTATTTGTCTGCTACTACTTTAAGGGCTGCCGTTGCTGCACCGATGCGGACCTGACACGCATGCTCGTTTTAATTCGCACTTTAGTATGAAATGATACAGGCTACAGCATGTGCTGCCGTATTTGAGTGTGCAATTAAAGAGCATGCTTACCTGCTTGGTTTGACAGATAGGTCATGTTGGTGGGATCGTGCTTTAGAGCTTCTTCATAGTGCTTCAGTGCAGTAGCAAAATCTTTCTTCTTATATGCTGCATTTCCCAGTTCCTTCTCCTTCAAGGCCTAGAAAAATTATCAAAATTAGGACAGACACCATTGCTAACTTGGCATTGCAGCATATTCAACATAAATTTAAAATGCAGTCAACTAAACACAGACAATTCAAACAACTCAGTTTAAATTGTCTGTTGCATATAGGGATGTGTCGGAGCGCATGACCACTGTATCGCCAGTGTGTTATTCTAAGCATGTGAAGGATGCGGTTTTACATGGATACTGGGACACGAAAGAAGTTCAAAGCCTTGTTAACATGATAAATACTAGTTTAGCAACCAAATGTTCGGCTACACCTTGAATATTTAAACATTTGGATTTGTGCCGAAAGAGTTATGGGAGTCCAACGCCGGTTTCAGTTTCACTTTAAACAAATTTGTTTAAAGGTTTAGCCTTTATAAACTCATATGTTGTTTATAATTAATGGCACTATAATATCTATGAATGTTTTATTTACTGAGAATGTACGCTATCTGAATGTAATAACATGCATCACACAACTTATTTTTTTCTTGTAACAAAGCAACTTTGACCCAAAGCGACTCACACAGGTGTGACTTGTATGGAAAATAGGGTACATGTAGAGAATAGCTACACCAAACCAAATTTGCTTTGACAGAGTACCATTCTCTTGTTTTCTGGCAGGTCTTCCTCTTTGGGAGGAGGTGGAGCTGTCTCTTTGGGTTTAGGGGGTGGGGGTGGAGTCGGTTCTTCCTCTTCATCCATGCCAGCTAGATCCAGCCCCAGCAGCACTGAGAGAGTGGTCATCACACGAGGGTCCTGCAGTTTTCTACAGATCCCCCCAAAAAAAGCAGATTACTTAGGGCTGCACAATTAATTTAAAATTAAATCACAATAGCAGCTTTAGCCTAATTGCATGCGCATCTTGTCAGGGAAGCAGGTTCTGTGATCAGTAGTAAATCTTCATCAGAAGGCCAGAGGGCGCTCTCGTGCTGAAACTCTTTTAAACATATAAATTACTTCATATTTCATTTTCAAATATATAAAAAAAAAAAAAAAAAAAAAAAAAAAAAAAAAAAAAACAAACAAACAAAAAAAAAAACAGAAGAAATCCAGGAAATCCCTATAGCTGTTGCTGAATAAACAGAAGGATTGGTGACCGGCAGGGTCAGTCTCACGTCTTGCCGATTCAGAGCCGATCCTTTTATTGCCTGCGGTGCCGGCAATGACGTCACAGCCGCGCACGCTCACAGTCACGTGTAAACATGTCTTTTCGCATGAGAAAGATTCTAATTTTAATTACATTCAGTGTAAACGGTGACTGATAAATGTATTTATGTCGTGCCAGATGTGAGTGAGTGTGTGAGAGAGACAGCTCACACAAAATAACTCACAGAAATTTATAGATGCATACTGCGGTAAAAGGAAAAAAGATATTTACAAAATATGATTTCAGTAAGCAACATTACGTTTCCCCGAATATCAACACGACTGCAATGTGACACCGATTTTATACAATAGTATTTCAATAAACAAGTTAAAATTAAGTGACTTAGATTTTAGGCAAAATATTGACCGTTTTTGCACAATTTTGCTGACGAAAATAGTTTCGATCAAAGCCACAGCAGAACGGTTTTGTGTCTCCGAGCAACACACAGCGGTGTTTCGTTACTGAAGGAATCCACGTTTTTGAACAAATCGAGTGAGTCAATAATTCAGTGGCCCATTCATAAGGACAGTCACTTGCCTGGTTTCTGAATGAATCAGCCGTTTGAATGAATTGGTTGAATGAATGAATAAATGACTCACTTATTAAAACAGACATTTGCCGCCACCTACTGGTGGTCATATTTAAAAGCATCATTGCATTTTTTCAACATTTATTTGTATGTTTAAAAAATATGTAAAACATTAATCTTATAAAATTATTCATGCATTTGAAATTTTGCAGCGTAAATTCATTTATGGCACCTCAGCTTCATCAAACTGTCTGTGCAAATGCATATAATGCCACTTCAGATGCAGCTTCCGTTTCCTCAGCAGTGGAAAGCTAGAGGTTTGTTAATACTAATTTAATTTGAATGGTAACAACTCTACAGTTTCTTATTCTAACTGAATTAATTGAAACAAAGTAAGAATTTGATGTGAAAGATGACATTTAATTAGGTTAGGGGAAAAAAAATTACCATTTATAAACATAGTGGGAAATTACATCTGTTTTGTTACATACAGCTCAACTCATTTTAAGTTAACTATTTCTTCCTCTCTCCAGTCACAGAGCACTTTATTTTGAGAGTTAAGTGAGAGAAAATCTGCAACTTAGTCCAGATTGGGGGAAATTTTAATGTTTAATCATTTCTTTTATTATGTAAATAATTTTGCATTGAAATTTGCATAGATTTTTGTTTGTATATGCTGTCAATTATAGTTCTTAGAAAGAAAATCGGAATCTGCAAAAATCGGTATTGGCAGGTCACACTAGAGGTCTGCACGGGCTTTAAAGTGAAGCCCGAACCCGGCCCGTACCCGAGATCGTCTGACCCGACCCGAGCTTCACAGCTCGGTTAAATTAAGAGCCCGAACCAGACCCGAAATCTTTTTTTTTTCCTCACAACGAATAGCTAATTTTTAAAAATGCTGTATTTCACGATTGCATGCAATGGTCAGTAAGCAAATACATGTAAAGAAACAGAATCATTAAGGCTCGGTCAGTTCACAAGGCAAAAGAAAAAACACTTACCAGTTATGAAAGTTTATGAACATGAGGTGCAGCAGTCACAAATTCTAATTTAAAAGATAAATTAATTGAATGTTTTATGCCTTAAAAACAGAATTTCTGAGGGAAAAAAAGGCTATTGTAAGAATAAATGAAACTTGTTTTTACGCTTTCAAATAATTAGACATGCTAAAACACAGAATTTGGTAACAATAAAACATAAGGTTGGAAAAAACAGCCCCAAACATGTAATTTTTTGTTAAACTGCTTTAAGTGTCATGATTTTAATTAATTAGACATGCTTTTTTATTAATAAAATGTAATTTAACCATAAAAAAAAAAAAAAAAAAAAGTCCAGAAAAATTTAAACTGAAAAAAAAAAAAAGTTTTGGGGGGTGACCCAAAATTAATAACCCAAAATTCCGGGGGAATTTATATAAACCTTCTATATACACTCTTAACATCAGATAAACTACTTTATTTGCCAAAATGTGCAGTACAAAAGGACACCATGTGGGATCTTGCATTAATATTGCAACGTGTTCTATATGACCTTCCATTTCACAGGGTTTCTGCTAGGGCTGTCGCGATAACTGCAATATCGTGCTATTGACGAGCAAACCGCAGAGGAATGCAAGAACCGCAGCAACCGCGACTTATCGTTTTACACTTCATGCATGTGGACTGAATATTAAACAAGTTAGTAATGATAACATAATGTGTACCATGCTGATTTGTACAGAGGCTCCGTAGATTTGCACTTACCAAGCCTAAACAGACGGTGAATGAGAGAGAGATCAACTGAGAATGCGCGATTACTTGCGTTTATCCTCCAGGCCGAGTCATATATATTTGTGAAAATAGGTTGTCATGTACAAGGAAAGCGAAATCTCTGTCTTCGCACTGACACTGACCAGCTGAGCCTTCTAAAGTGGCGCTCAAAGTTAAAATGATTTCAACAGCAGGTTTCATTACGTCTCTTTGAATGAATGAATCAGTGTTTTTGAACGTGTAGTTGAATGACAGTCCCTTTCCACCACCTTGTGGCACAACACTGTAATTGCACTGACTGACAGCCCATCTAGAACCCACACAGGTGGAAATATCGATAGAAAGTCTCTTGTCCAGTCAGATTAGAAAATAAGATTACAACTAGGCTAACTGTTATACATATAGGCTAACGATAGCCTAACAATCTTATGGTCAAGTTTATGTTCGGTTACGTGGACCGTTATTTTGTCATGCGGTTTACTTCACTTCCTGTTTCAATGCTATTTAGTTTCGATTTCATTGTCTTCTGAATATGACCTTGTTAGTTATATCGTAACACATACACACACAAATTATATGTGTGTGTGTGTGTGTGTGTGTGTGT